TTGCTAAGCCTCCTGTATGTATGAAGCCCGAGCAATGAGCTTACCGATTGGGTGACACTTTTGTCACACCATGGAAACCGGCTGAGTATACAAAGGTCAATACAACCTTATGAGAAGTATGGGGCTAGAAGTTCTTCTGCATTTGTAGGGTTTGAAGCATTGCCTCCTGTGAAGCTCCGCTTTCTGTATGCATTGCTTCCTGTGAAGCCCTGCCTCTTGTGTTGCCTCCTGTATGGGTTGGCCACAAGTTTTCACCAAGCTGAACCAAGGTAGTCTGAGTCTCACTCTCCAGCCGCCTGTGGTTACACGTTAAAGCGACATCGTTATACTTCAATAAAACCGTTTGTATACATGGGTCGAAGTTAAGCTACTCAAATCAAACCTCCTGGGCACACTTCAACAAAGTCCCTTGATCTCAAACTGCTCTTAGTCGGTGAACCGTGTGGGGTATCAGCTAGCAAAGCTTCAAGGAGTCGCCTAGATACTTCCACTTGTTTTATTATCAAATGTATGAAGTCTCGCCGCAAGTATATGGGTCGATACAACCCCTTGAAATAGCATGGCTAAAGACTTAGAATGGGGATGTATGCCTTACCGCACCAAAACAAGCAGCATGATCATGAAATCAAGCGGCTTGAGTAGTCAAGCAGGAGGCGCCTCAGCAAAGAGTCGCCTGTGTTCTCGGAGAATCAAATCCATCTCTTGGATCCTGCTAACCCAGGAGGCATTTCATGGCCGCCTGTCACCATTTGAAGAGCCTGGTATCACGAGTTAGCAGGAGGCACTTCAATGCCGTCAAGCATGTTGGCATTCTCCACCGGAAGGTACCATTCTAACAGACTCAGTACGAGTATTGTGTACATCCTTAGTTTTTAATACCGCATTTTACTTGGTTTTTCGAAAACATTTGATATTGGTTCAAGTCTCCCTTAACGGCAGCATACTGATCGCAAAAGGTCTAAAAAAGTATGTTGAGCAGGCTCAAGTAGAACCACCGCCTGTGCAATGTGTAGGCGGCAAAATTTAAAACAAATCGTCTGCTCCAGCAGGCATCCGGCGACGCCCATTCGGGTGAAATCGTCGCAGAGAACACCTCCCTTCCGGGAAGAACATTGTTCTAGCGATCAAGCGAAGGCCAATGGCCGGATGATCCTACTGAGGCCAACGCCCGGAATCGTGCCATAACCAGCGTTGCTTAAAGCATCCCAAACGGTTATGCACTTGAGCGATCAAGCGAAGGCCAATGGCCGGATGATCCTGTTGAGGCCAACGGCCGGAATCGTGCCATAACCAGCGTTGCTTAAAGCATCCCAAACAGTTATGCACTTGAATGATCAAACGAAGGCTAAACAGCTGGATGATCAAAAATAAAAATTTGTCTGTAAAACTCAGGCCTCCGGCGACGCCCATTCGGGTGAATTCGTCGAAGAGAACATCTCCCTTCCGGGTGGTACATTGTTCTAACGGTCATAACTCAAACAGCTTTAACCGGCTAACATTAAAAATAACTCCCGGTTGTTTGAAATGATCCTTGTAACCAAGATATAACCGGTTCCTCATTGCAAAACAGTACAACCGGCACATCAAATCTTGGTCATGTCATAACCAACGTTGCTCAAAGCATCCCAAAAGGTTATGCCCTCGTATGATCAAACAAGCGGCCAATGGCCTAATTGATCAAAATAAAGGCCAACGGTCATATAATATTGCTTGCAAAACTTCCACGTGATGGCCGACAATCCGCCTAGGATGGGGCTATCAGCATAGTGAGGCTAAAGGTAATAACCGTCGACATCTGTCTAGTTCAGCGGCAATCATTATTATGATTTGATTAACTCGGAAAATGTCATACCATTCAAGGTATCAAATTTTCCAAGTCAATCAAATCTCTCCCCAAATTGAACTAGACAAATGCCGACCAAAGAGGCTCAGGCAGTCGCGTTTTCGAAAGAAGCAATCCCACTGCTAAGTGAGATTACTCCTTCCGAGGGGCTAATGTTTGGGGGTAAAAAACCCCCTAACAATCGGACCACTATTAACGCAACATGTGTCCCAATAGCCTGCTGACACGTGTCACCCTTAGAGAGGCCCAAAGGGAACCAACCCTTTCCTGACACGTGTCACCAAATCCTAGAAAGGGATTGAACTCCTTCTCTATAAATAGAGGAACCATCCTCATTTGCAAAACACACAACCAACAATCCAACAATCCAACAAAAAACACAACTTACATTGAATACTCATTCAATGCACCCAAAAACCGAGCAATCTTCATTGCGGAACCCTCCTGACTCAGGAGGGGTAATCACCTACAAAACCCTCCTGACCCAGGAGGGGTTATTGAGCAATCTTCATTGCAGAACCCTCCTGACTCAGGAGGGGTTATTACTTTCCGCACTATACTCCTCAAACACGTTCTAACTTGATCGTCGGAGGCGGAACTCCCACCCTTGGGAGTCTCCGTTGTTTTGCAGGTACAGACAGCTGGAGGTCAGTCTCGGTGTTGTAACTCTCCCGCAGGACACATCAAAAACCCCGAAACAGTAGTGATCACCACCCTCTCATGGCCAAATTCAGCCTCTAAATATGATTTTCTGGCAGTTTTTTATTTTAACGAAGTTTTTTTTATACTTAAAATATTATCCTTGAGTTTGATTAATAAAATTAATTATGTTTAAAGTTAATTAAGCATAAATATATGTTTTTATTGAAGTTTTAAGTGTTGGAAATAGTTTCTAAGTACTACTTTTAATGTTTTATAAAGAGGGTTTAATCACCCATTAAAAAGGGAGATTTTTAGGGGGTTTTATATAATTTTCAGATTTTTATTAGACTTTGAACTTGCTGTAATTTCATGTATAAGAGTGTATTTTAAGGTTTTTATGAAGAAAATTTAAAGAACTATATATAAGCCTTTAATTTTAACTAAAGGGAAGGTTTTAAAGTGTTGTTTGATTTGGATTTCGAAGGTTTTAAAGTAAGTTAGTATTGCTGTAAATTTGATTGATTGGGTATTGATTGAGATGTTATTATTTGGCTTAGGAGAGGAGTTTATTGAAGGTGATTTCTAGTTAGTAAAGTGGCATACCAATTCGTTTTCTCAAGGTACGTACAAGTTACAAAACCTTTCTTTTAGGTGCATGTTTAAGGACGACGGATCGAGAACTTAGTATCATGTATAGGGATGACTGAGTTAAATTGTTTGGTTATACATTGTGAATTTCGTATGACGTGCACTATTTTATATTGCAAGTATTATTTGTGCTCTAATTATGCAAGGTGCGCTTAGAGGTAAAGGTATATGATTGGTGTAATGATTAATTTATTACTCATTCATGATTATGCAAGCAGGATGAGTAAAGGAAGAATTTAAGTCTTCTAAGACGAGGTTAAGGTATTGGGGTGCCTTATGCACTCAAGGTGTTTATACACCGAGGTAGTAAAGGAATAAATAATAAATGTTGCTTGCCACTAATAAATCAAGAATTGAAATTGAAAAGTTGTTTTACTTGATTGAATTGATATCAGATTGATTGTATTGTTATGCATATGAGTCATCACCAAGTCTAAACCTGTAAATCACGTAAAGTGCAAGATAGATGAGCAATAAAACTCTGGATTGGTGCACTTCTGGAGTAATGACAATCAGGGGTTGGGGTACATGGGGTATTAGCCGTGTACTTTTCTCGAGGCCGTCTGATCTACGAGTCTCTTATTTCAAATATTTTTCAAAACTAGGAGTTAGGTGAGATCTCATACTAACTACGGTCACGGAGTCGCGCCCGTGGTCGTTGGATGTTTATTGATGTTTCCGAAAGGAGGCATGGGGTTTTTCTTTTATTGATGTTCCAAATGGAGCATGGGTTGGACAACCTTGTCTATTGCGTAATCCAATGAATAAAAATAATGATTTACCTATTATTAATTAATGGTGTCTTAGTAATATAAATAGTTGTGTCGTGTGTTGAGTCTATAATTTAATGATGCATGATGATTGATTATTAGTAGCATGTTATGGATTTCTTAATTTATTTCGCAGCTTGTATGTACTCAGCTTTGCTGATTGCGTGCTTTGTGTGTCTTTCTTTGGTCATGGCCTTCGCCTTTCAATTACCCTGTGACGATCCAATTTTTACACTTGTAATATTGGGGAGCAGAATTACCACAGGTTCTTACACGTGCAGCAAGTTTGAATTTATTTTAATTCGATTTTATTCGACACTATTTCTTTTGGGTTTGAATTTATTTGAACACTGAATTTAATCACTTACTACTTTTATTGGGTTTTGAATAAGGGCCTTAATGGTTCCAAGTTGTATGACTTAATTTGGTTTCATTCGTTGGTTTTGAAACTTATTTATAACTGATTTAGTTTTTCCGCTGCTATTTTTTGATAAAGCCTTAACGTTTGAACACGTGGCGGTAACACGCCAGTAATTCTCTTGAATATTTTTCAGGGTCCTCACAGGTTTAAAGAGAGAATTATTGGAGTGTTACAGGTTTTGCTGGTGCGTGTTGCAGGGGGTAATATTGGTGGTGGTGGTGTGATAGAGCGGCGAATTGGAGGTGAAGTAGGGAGTTTCGAGTGGTGGTGGTGGCGGCTGAAGTGTGTTCGGCATCTTTGGTGACTGTGGGCTGCGTGCCTGGCCGCGACGATAGGCTGCTATGGCTGAGCTTCAACTTGGCCGCGGCGACAGGCTGTTGTGGTTGGTTGTGCACCTGATAATTGGTTTTTTGATGGATGGAAGGTGGTTATCGGGGTTGCCGAAAGCCGCTCATGGAGGGGGGGAGGGAGGCTAAGGGTGGCCGCGAGGTGGTAGGACTATGGCTAGGCGCCTAGGCCCCACTAACGGAAAAGTTAACAGAAAATAAACGGAGGTACCAAAATAAAAAAAAAGTTTTAAACGAGTTCGAAAATTCAATTCGGGCCATTTTTAAGATCCAAAATTCAAAATTTTTTTTTTTTTTTTAACACAGACACCAAAACAGACCGTTTCAAATAGTGGGTTGATTTCATTTCATCATCGTTTTCTCCGTTTCACTATTTTCCCTTTCTGTTTTCTCCTTTCTCTCTCCTCTTTCCCTTTTTCCCAATTCCTTCAATTTCCAATACTACAACTTCTCCATCAACACTCCTTCTTACCAATTTCCCCTCTTTCTCTCTCTTATTAAGGTAATTTACTTTTCCATATTCATTTTCCCACCATTTTTTGCTAATTTTCCTTGAAGATCGATCTATTTTCTTCCATTTTTGTTGTGATCATTGTAATTATTGACTGTTTTTTGTTTGGTTTATTGGATCTGAATTAGGGTTTCGATTGCATTTTAGGGTTTTCGATTTCTTCGTCGGAAATATGGCGAATAGAGTAGATCACGAATACGATTACCTCTTCAAGATCGTATTGATCGGTGATTCTGGTGTTGGTAAATCTAACATACTTTCGAGGTTTACGAGGAATGAATTTTGCTTGGAATCTAAATCCACCATTGGTGTTGAGTTCGCCACTCGTACTCTTCAGGTTCGTCTTTTTCTCTCTTCACAAATCTGTTGATTTTGCATACTACTTTTGATTTCTTATATTATATGATATGTTGTTGATAAGCTTATGGAAATGATTATGATTTGGATTGGTATTTTGCTTTGTTTTTGCTATATATTCGATCTCAATTTCATATGGTAAAGCTCAATAATAGTTGATCGTTTGAATGTGCTAGTTCTATTGATTGGTATACGCTAGAAATAATAGATGAGCGGTCTGGTTTTCGAGCCTTACGAGTGTCCGATTATGATGGTTCTCTTAATCTTTTTGTTGAAGCTCAAGGTATAGTTGTAGTTGAATCATGCCTTTCGATTGAGGCCTTAATGTTCTTTGACTGTTTACATTTTTTGATATGAGATATCAGAATGCTTGGGTTGAGTTTAGAATCTGGCTTGAATTGCTTGAATCGAATGAAATTTACCGTTTTGATGAAGCTCGTTTGAGGGTTGTGTATGACTTGGAAGTATCGTGGTGATGGATTTGTTTTCCTTTGCTTTTCGTAGTTTTTTTGTTTTTCCATTTCCTCTTGGATATAATTGGAACTATGCTACTTCTTCACTCTCTTGTGGATGGTAGAAGGATTTCCTTTATGCTTGATTTGTTAAGCGATGACCTTGTAGTTTAAGTCTCACATGCACTGAAGTTGTTATGCTATCATTGCATATAATTTTTATGGAAGATGAGCTGAATTAAAGGATTGTTTTCGAAGGAATACACGGTGTCTGAGATCATTGATTCATGGAAATGAATTGGCCACATAAGCATTGGGTGTTGATTTTTACGTTGAAAGCCGTTGGATTTCTTACCCTTTTTGTTATGTGGGTGTGGGTGTTTGGGGGGGGGGGAGTTTTTCTTCAATTTGTACTGCTTTTGTCTCGTCTTAAAGGCTTCTGCAATTGTGTTAGTGGTTAGATTGCCATTTATATGTTGTTTTATGCATTGAGCCCCTATATACTTGATGGGTCCTGAGAAAGCATGGTCAACTATCTATTGGGTTTCTCTTCAGATTGTACTGCTGAAGACTTATTGTCTTGTCTTAAAGGCTTCTGCAATCGTGGTAGTAGTTACATTGCCATTTATATGTTGGTTTTATGCATTGAGCCCCTATATACTTTATGGATTGGGAGAAAGCTTGGTCAACTATCTATTATGCTGCTAGTACTAATGACTTCTTTTTGCACACTAAAACAGGTAGAAGGAAAGACTGTGAAGGCGCAGATATGGGATACTGCTGGTCAAGAGCGGTACCGTGCTATCACCAGTGCTTACTACAGAGGAGCTGTTGGTGCGCTCCTTGTCTATGATATAACTAAGAAACAAACATTTGATAATGTCCAGAGATGGCTTCGTGAACTAAGAGACCATGCAGATTCTAACATTGTCATCATGATGGCTGGAAACAAGTCAGATTTAAAACATCTGAGAGCTGTCGCAGAAGAGGATGGCCATGCATTGGCTGAAAAGGAGGGCCTATCTTTTCTTGAGACATCGGCATTGGAAGCAGTCAACGTTGAGAAGGCTTTCCAAACAATACTAACAGAGATTTACCATATAATTAGCAAGAAAGCTTTGGCAGCACAGGAAGCTTCCAGCAACCTTCCTGGTCAAGGTACGACCATCAATGTTGCTGATGCAGCTGGGAACCAGAGGAGAATGTGCTGTAACACTTGAAGGGATAGTCAGACGTGCAAGAGGATGGCTAGCAAGCATCAGGCTTTCTCCTTTCTTCTCTGTTTTCTTTTACCAAAATTTTCCCTTATTTTTTCATCTTTATTTTTTTTTGGCGGATGAGATTCTGTAGAATACTTTCGATCATTAGTTGTGATGATCGACCAGCTTGTGAAAGTGAAGTACACTAGAGTTATTCTTATTAGCCCAGGAGGTTTCCCATTCATTTGTCGATTAGTTCCGTTTCTGTTCACTTGGATCGGAACTAACTGGTAGTGACCTACCCCAAGAATTGATGTCAATGTCACTTAATTATTGAAGGAGGTTTGACTAGAACCTTTCCATTACAGTGAAAAGGAAACACCATATCTTGTTGAATTCTTTGGTTCCTCTGTAATAGTTCTTCATTACATTTTACTTGATGTTATCTTTTTGTACTATAATTTAATGACAGTAATTAACATTATGAATTTGGTAAGATTTTTTGCTATATTCCCTCATAGCGTGTATAGTTTTCTTTGAATCTTTCACTATTATACACGGCAATTTGGTACTTTTTCTATGAGTACTAACCAGAATGAGTAAAGGTTGATATACATATGATACATACTAGTTTTGTGCCCGTGCGATGCCCGGGTTGTTTATTGAATTTTAAGATAAATTTTTAATCTATATGTCAAATTTTAAAACATATTCATTGATACAAAATTAGTTAGGAATTGATGTGTTTTTGTGATGATTTAAACTATATAGTAGGCATGTAATGACTAATAATATAACATTGATGAAAAACATTTCTTGACCCGTAACATGAAATAATGACCCTGTCCGAAATGACTCGTGACCCGACCCGATTTGCAGGTCTACACACAGTAATAAAATTATATTAGATTGTAAAGTATATTGTTTTAATTGATTACAATATATTATAAATAATGGATGTGTTGCATTTTGAGCTAATTCCTTTGCTCCAAAAAAATACTATGATACAAAAAATAAATTTATATGATAATTTATGAGTGTTATAATTTTTTTTAATAAAATTATAATTTAATTTATAAATACGAAATATTGGTACTTTATCGAAAATAAAACTCTAAATTAACAATTTTATCCTAAAATTCTATCCAAATTTGATTGAAAATAGAATTCTAAATTAACTTTTTTATCTTACAAATTGAATTTTATATAACTCTATCCTACGTGGCGCGACACTTGGCGAAAAGTTGGAACGCCAAGTGTCGCTATTTCGTCGCCTGGGCAAAAGTTTAGCTTTATATATTAGTTATATGATTACCTCTTAGGCTCACAGTTTGGATTTATGGCCTGTTTTACCGAGCTGAATTAAACTGAAATGAATTGTTTTTGAGAGAAAGAAATTAGGAACTGAACTGGACTGATTAAAGTTGAACTGAAATCAAGCTGAAGAGAACAGATCCTTAGATGCTCGGTTTGGCGATTATCACTCTAATAGTTTGAATTAAACGACCACCATGTGTAGGTAAGGTCCCTGAACTTCTTGAGATGTGAGGTCAGTTTTTGCTTGAGAATCAGAAACTAAGGTAAGTTTCTTCAGAAAATCGTGAATGGAGTTTAACTATTAATATACAGTCCTTCACTTCCACAGTTGTGCTTCAAATTATTGTGACCGAGCCATGTAACCATGGCATGGCCATATTGATATGGAGCCCAAATGCAAAAACCAAGAACTTGATTGCTGTTGATTTTCTCTCTATTACAAATCTTCTGACTATAATTCTGTAAGTTAAAATTCGTTAAAATTCCCTAAGATCAATTAGATAAATTTTACTGATAACAAGGCTACTAAGACTTCCAACATGGTAGAGCTAAGAGTACTGATTATATGTGGGCTTTTTTTTGTTGGAATATGCTCCGCTAAGTATTAGTTTGTGTTTGAGTCATATTAGTAGCGGGTTAGGTTAGTTGGTTAATGTTAGCATGATCAATGACCATGAGATTATGTTCCTTACTTATAGCTTCGTTATTTTACACTATATATATGTTGCTATGTAGTACGTTTTTCAATGGATTGAATTCAACTTTTATGATTCTTTGATTTCTCTCATCTCTATTTATTATTTCAACTTTTTTTGGCTAAAAGCCCATACAACTTGTGGTGATTATTGAATCATCTTAATGCATTAGAAAACTATAATTCTTAAGATTTTATGTAAAGTATTTCTAGTTTAGGTAATGAGAAAATCCAAGTTTCTAATAGTGAAACATGCAAAATTTATACCAGGTAATTAATGTCATTTCGGCTCATCATAAAGCATGGGTGTTTTTGTAACTTCATTCTTTATCCGTTGAAATGAAAATAGAGAAGTTGGACATGGAGAAAACGATAATTAGTCAGTCTTCATCATCTTCATCTTATTCAATAACCTCAACAATAGCATCCAAATTATTGACCCTTCATCAACAACACAACATCAACCCAATTGTTGAGAAATCAATGGTGGAGAGAAATCTCACTTACCCTTAAGGTTAAAGAAAAATTGATAAAAATAGTCCCAACTTTGGATTTTTTTAAATAATTTGAACTTCGAGGGTCATTCGCTCAAAATGATCCCAACTGGTCACTCAACCTGTTATATCAGGTTAATGTGACACGTGTGACAGGACAAAGTTGTATCCCCTAATCAAAAGAATTACCTAAGTCCTCTAGCTAAAGCAGATAGGGAATTAGGGTCGAATCAACATGGAAACAAGTATTTCTATTCCTAATTAATTAATATAATCTAAACTATTAAGTAGTCAAAATTATTTTTAAAGGAATTAAACTAAAGAGAATAAATAAACTAAAGCAATTAAGAATTATAGGAATAACAATAAATCAAAGCATAGGGTATAGGTTCACCAATAAATAATATTCCATGGTAAAACACAATAATCAATCATCAATGCATCAATTAATCAGATCATAAAGGGCTTTCGCTATGCATCTCTCGAATCTTGACTTAAGCATTTATAAATTAACATGTTTATTGAAATTAAGCGTAAACATCAATTCTCATCTCTTGAATTAATATTGCATAACTCATACAATTAAATCAGGCCTAATATAATTGCATAGCATTAAAACAATCAATAGGAAATCAACCAAAGCATTAACAATCAATAATAATAAATTATCCCTTCATATTATTTATGGATCCCCACAACCCTAGAAATAAATCTATTTACACATATTAAGATCTAAACTAAGTAAAGAAAATAAACAAGACATGATTAATCAAAGCAGATAAATTACTGAGAATAAAAGGGGATGAAATCGTTACCAAAGTAAACAGAATTAATGAATTGCATAAACCAAAAGCGTAGAAAGAACAAGAGTAATAATTCAAAGCTTAAAACTAAATCTGAGAAATTAACTAATGAAAAGACGTAAGTGAATCCCGCTTAACAAAAGCGTATTTATACTTAAGCTAAAAATCCTAATTAAAAACAAACTAGAAAAACGTCAAAGCTCCTTCAGAAAACACGCGCCTGGTCGGGCGAAAGCCGGGTCCGCCTTTGTGTGAGAGAGTGCTTCGTTCACGCCCGGTCGGGTGCGCCTCTAGGCGAAGCATTCTTTTCTTCCTTCTACCTCGCCCGGACGGGTGAGCTTCTGGGCAAAGGGCCTTCTTCAATTTAGGCTATTTCCTCTTGACCAAAATCCGGATTTCCTCTTTGGGTCTTTATAGCTCGGTCCAATGTCTCGAATTCTTCTTTGTCGAGCCCTTAATCACCGGTTTGATAACTGTAACCGGTCTTCGGTTATGGAAGATGGTCATATATCTCAAACGCTCTTAGTGTCTCTAATAGGTCCGGAAAAACGCTCCAAATCTGCAATTTCCTATAAAACAATCCCAAATCTACGAAAACACTAGAAAACACATACTAGTAGTTAAAGTGACTCCGAAGAGCCAAAAATACTCCTAGTTATGACCAAGGGATGGGGGTAAATCACTATATAAAATGAACATATCAAACTCCCCCAAGCTAAACCTTTGCTTGTCCCAAAGCAAAGAGCTCATCAATAAACAAATAAAACATATTCCACCCCAAAAATCAATTAAAACCAAGTATAACCAATTCAAGGCAAGTCCAACAAATATGCATTCAAGTCAACCAATCAATCCATCCAACTACACATCCTCCCTAAAAGTTGTCAAATAGAGAAAACCACAACTGTATATGGAGTTCAAGACTAGTGCTCACACACTCTTCACTATTTTATATGACGGATATAAAATGTATCCAATCGCTCCCCATCCAGCCCATTTATTGTGAACAATTCCCTCCCAAACTCACAACACTCGTGTGTTTAAGAAAACAAGCATTCAACCTAGTAGTCGACTCGAAATATATCAAACTCATTCTTTGCATTGATAAACAACTAATTTCACATCCATATAACTCTATGCACAAAGGTCGGAAGGTCTTCAAAGCTTGTAATGTAAGGCTAAGGTAAAAGGTAGGAAATATTTGGGAAAATGTGAGAGTAAAGTCATGCTTAAGGGAGCCAAATCCTAGTAAATAAAACCAACGTAAAAAAACAAATAATGACCAAATCATCTCCAACACAACTCAACTCCACAAAAATTCACCAAACATCCAATTATATCAACAATTCCCAACATTTACAATCTCTCTAACAAAAATATAATAATTAAGAATTGATTGAATTAGATAAACTTTGTACTCTTGAACACTTGAATGTTTCACTTGAAACTTAATTTTCTTTCTTTTGAATAACCTTCACTAAGAACATTTGAACATTGAACAATTTTTTTCTTTTGCTATTTTTTTCTCCTTTTTTTTCAACATCATGCTATTGTGCAAATAACATGCACACTGCAAACTTCCTCACCTCACTCACTAATAGCTCCCCCAAGCCAAACTTGAGACTAGTAACCAATTGGGCAAAAACGGCTTGAAATGTGGCTAATAAACAATGAAAAATCAAGGCAACAACATGAGTAGCAAGTAGGGTTGTACACAGTTTGGTTTGGACCGTAATTAAACTAGATCAAACCGCATTATAGCGGTTTGGTTTAGTTTATGGTTTGTAAAAAATATGGTTTGGTTTCAGGTTTTGGTTTTTTTTTTTTTTTTTTTAAATTTGTAAATAAGGTTTATGGTTTGGTTTGGTTTCAATAATTATAAACCAAACCAAACCGTAAACTATTAAACTGTGTTTTAATATATATATATATATATATATATTTTAAATAAATTAAAGTAATTATTATATATTATAAAATAAAAAAAAAATTAAAAAGAAAAAACATGAAAAATCAAAAGAAAACTATAAGTGTTACGATGTTAGCACTTGATTAGTTGATAGTTATTTTTATTATAACTTTGTAGTATAATTTAATCCCTTTGAGCTAATTAATTAAACTTTATTATAAATTTAATAAGTATTATTTGACAATTTTTAGGAAAAAAGTCGTCTCATCATAAATAGCAAACCAAACCG